GATGACGCTGGGAGCATGGATAAACTGGTGAGTCTGGCGACCCCGAACTGCAATTCCCGTTTCCCACCTCTTTCGCCTGGAGCAACCGCTCTGGCTGGAGGGGGGCTCGAAGCCTAGGGCGCGGGCCTTGCGCCTTGTCGCTGTCGCTGCTGCTGCTGCTGGCGTCTCTTGTCGCCGCGGGCCATGCTGCTGCATTGCGTGCATCGCCAATCTCATCCGTGACATCGAAAAATCGTCCCTCTGGTGTGATGCGGTCGCTGACAAGTCCCTGCCTCTTCGCCCCATAGGCGCATTCGGTGCTCGACGACGTGCTGTTCAACATCGTGTCGGACCTGTTGATGAAGACACACCGAGAGGAGAAGACGGCGAGGGCGACGACCGCGGCCATTCGGGTGGAGAAGCTGGCTTCGGACGCCTCAGAGAGCTCGACTCCCGACTCGGGTCCCAACGTGCGAATCGAGACGGACGCCGCAATCTACGAAGATGGCAAGGTGCTGCTCAAGGGCAACCCTCTCAAGACGACGACGGATATCCTGTGCCCCCGATGCCATCTCCCGCGACTCCTCTATCCGACCGACGGCAAAGGCGCCCGGAAGCCCGACCCTACGATTGTCTACTGCAAGAAGCACCCCTTCATCGAGAAGCCCGGATGCGACATCTACGGCCAGAGCTGGGTCGGACCGGGCCCGGGACGGGGCAAGAAGAAGAAGGACATGGACAAGAAGGACGGCGCCGACGGCACCCCCGAGCAGCGGCCGCCCAACGTGCTGTCGTTCCCTTCCGCTACGTGCAGCAAATGCAAGCGATGCATCCTGGTTACACGGCTGAATAATCACATGGGGTCCTGCATCGGCAACAGTGGCCGCAATGCCAGTCGAGCAGCCGCGCAGAGGATTAACGGCGGCGGTTCCCAGAACGAACCGACGCCTCCGCCCTCTCAGAAGGCCACGCCCACGCCGACCTCTCGGGCCCAGAGCCCCCGGAAGCGAGACGCGAGCGACGACGACGACGACTCGGAGGCTAGCAACCCCAAGAAGAAGAAGATGAAGCCCAGCAGCCAGACCAAAAAGGTCATCCTCAAGACGAAGCCTCCGTTGAAGAAGGACAAGATCAAGAGCAGCTCGCTGAGCCAGGAACAAAAGGCCGACTACGACGTGCCGTCGCCCAAGGTGCTCAACAAGATCAAGTCCAAGGCGGAGAGCCCGATCAAGAAGCTCAAGGTGACCAAGCCGACCATTGCCTCGCCCATGTCTAAGAACGGCCGAGATATCGACGGAGAGTCTGAGTCGTCGGGAACGCTCTCGTCACCGCCCGCGAGCCGTCACTAATGGGCGTTGCACAAAGAAGACGAGTTGCGCGAGTTTGAAGAGTTACATGCGTTCGCTCTGCCTGACTACAGCCGCATGATTGGATACGGGATAGACTCGAAGCGGAGGGCTTTTTGGAGTTTTGATATCCAATTTTTTTTTTCACCTTCATTGCACTTTTTTTCTTCTTCTTCACTGTACTACTAACTACTCTCTTTTTTCTTTTTTCTTTCCTTCTTTTCCAGACATACAAGAGAGGAAAACCGAAAACGGAAAAACGAACCCCAGACTGCTTGCTTTGCGTTTTTGATTTGGCAGCTCTAGGGGAACTGGGTTCGCTACTGGGCTGGCTGACTGGCTTTTACATACAGACGATGATGATACAACCAGCATCCCGAGGGAAAAATCGGAAATTTTGGCGTTTGGCGGAAAACAATCTTGATTTTAGTCGTCATTGCAATTGAGTCATCTTGACTATATCTCCTGTTCCTTGATGTGAAGGGCGTTTCTTGATTGTCCACCGTTTGGTTTATTCGACCGTGACATGGCCCAATGCCTGTTAAAAGCCTCCCCCGCAGCAATTATCGTTATAGAGAGAAAGACGAGAAGAAACAAACGCCATACCGTGCTGTCTATGCCAAAGCATTACTTGATATATACATGATATTCATCTACGCCGAAATATACACATGACCACGTCCAAATCCTGCCCCAGCCGGCTCCAGATTGCCGCATCCGGCCGAACGACTCTTATCCTAAAAATCCAAAGCAAACCACCCCCCCCTTTCGAATTACAGCTCAAACCTCGTCCTCAGCCTCCAGGACCCTCGCCTGAAAGATCTTGACCTCC